ATGCAAGGAATGGGAAGCTAGTGCAGAGTCATATGAAGACATCTGTTGACAAAAAGCTACTAACTTATCAATTTTGTCATTACCTGAGACTAGAGGTCCAGGAAGATTAGTATGGGCACGTATGTGTCCTATGAAACATGGGTACTTTCGCATTAGCACTGCCTTTTGTAAATTATGAAATAATTTAAATAACTCCTGTGATGAAGTATACCCAATAACTGAAGTTTCAATATTTTTAGTAACTCTGACTGTATATAAGCTGTCAGAATAAATATTAATAGGCTCATTAGAAAAGTAATTTAAGGCACAAATCAGAGCTTGAAGCTCTGCTCTTTGGGCAGAAGTATAAGAAGTTTGTATTACCTCTGTGTGAATATGACTATAAAAACCTGTTTTACCTGAGTTAGAACCATCCGTGAACACCAATAAATCTTCATCTATAGGATGTGCACATACAATCTTTGGAAAAATAAGTGATGTTAATGATGTAAATTGTATAATCTTATCACGAGGATAATGGCTATCTATCTGGCCAGGAAAATCAGCAAAGGCTATCTGCCACGAGCTAGAAGTTTGAAAAAGTCAATTAGTCTGCGGAATGGAAAAATGGAATAATTATGATATCAGGCTCAGATCCAATTAATTGTAAAATCCTAGTTCTGCCCTTAATTACTAATTGAGCTATAGAATCATGAAAAGGAATTAATGTTTTTTGAGGAGAGTGGGATAAATAAATCCACTTAATAACTCCCAATCTTTGCCATATGGCTCCTGTTGGGGTATGTTCAGTTGGAAATATTAACAAATACACTATTTCTTTAGGATCAACTTTAGTAAGCTGTGCATTTTTAATTGTATGTTCAACTCTCCTTAAAGCCATTCTAGCCTTTAAGGTCAGCTGACGTGGAGAGGTTGGAGAGGGATTTCCTTGTAATATCTGAAATAAAGGACTTAACTCAGAAGTAGTTAGTTTTAAGGATGGCCTTAGCCAATTAATATCTCTTAAAAGCCTTGAAAATCATTAGGGGTTTGTACGGAAACTGTTTGTTTCGCTCCGGTAAAATTAAAGATGGCAGCCCCTATGGTCGGCGCGATGACGTCACATTGCGCGACCATCACCTACTTTCTCATTCTCGGCCCAGGGGCGGGCCGACTGGAAGTTTGTGTTCTGGCTAGGCGGAAATGATGACAAGAAGGCGGGCTCATCCACGGCATCTGGATCTACCGCATGGGGCTGAGCCCTGCAATATTTATTATCGCCAGTAGATGGAGCCCTGAACTTAAAATTGCGCATGCGACACTCCCGCGCAAAATGATTATTTCTCCCGCAAATGTAACATTTTTTGTGGGGTTTTTGTCTTAAATCCTGTGGACTCAAAGTTTCCTTTAGTGCCGTGGTTAGGGCTACTGTCTGTAAATGAGTAGAGTCTATGTCAGAACATAGGCTAATAAACTCAGAGATTGTTTCCTTTTTATGGTGCGGCCTGAGAATATCCTGACAGTATTTATTTGCATTTTTAAATGCCAATTGCCTAACAATGAACTCACTCGCTCCTGAGTCCCCGATTGACCTGTTTGCAGCCTGATACAATCGGGCTATGGAATCTGAGTAAGGTTTACTTGCACCTTGCCTGATTTTGGTAAGAACTAAATTGGATTGGTTCTTGGAGATGATCTGTCTCCAAGTACGTTTTGCACAATCAGTTATTTGATTGTATATTACAAAATCATAATTTAACTGTCTTTTTAAATTAGCGAAATCACCGGTCCCTAGAAACATCTCTATTGGTGTTTTTATATCCTGTCTTTTGTTTTTTTTTTGTCTGTTCAGTACAAAAATTAGTCCAATAAGTCCTCCAAAGTAAGAAATTTCCCCCACTCAGACAAGATCTGGCTAAAGAAATCCAATCGCTAGGAGGAAGGGGTTGTGAGCAAATATTTTCTATCAGGCTCTGTACAAAAGGGGAATTTGGACCATACGTCTCACATGCACTTTTTAGTTCCTTAATGGTTTTAAATGGGATTACAGTATGAACTCTAACTCTCTGATCTTGTTCATTAACTTGTTCAAAAACTGGAAAAAGGTGAAAACCGTTAGTATCTTCCCCATTTTCCTGTGCTTTTTCAATACCTCGCTGGACTGGGGTAAGAAAAGTCATTGTTAATCCAGCGTACCTGTTAAATTTTGTCCTTTTAGCAGGCACTGGCAGAATTTGAATAGCCTGGGCAGGCGGTGTTAAACGCAGCCTGTTAAGATTTCTCTGTAAGTCCTGAATTTTAATGTTTGATTTTTCTCCCTCAGACTGCGAGCCATGGTTAGACTCTGTATTATCGCCATTTTGAATTTGGGTTTCTAAACCATGTGGCTGAGAAGAACTCTGTGCCCCTCTAGGAATCTCTTCCGGATTTTCCTCTGCAGGAAGATCCTCTACCTCTTCTGGAGGGCTTTCTAGGATCTCGGAGGCTTGTCCTCTATGATATTTGTCCCTAGAATCTCCCTGCAGGCTAGTCTGGTCTTGCAAGTTTAAAGTCACATTCCTAACCTTCGGTTTGGCCCTTAGCGTCTTTGTTTTTAAACGGCTTAAGGGAAAAGGAATTAACTTAGCCTCAGGCGGATTTTCCATTTGAATAGACTTAATAGCCCTTTGTAAGCCTTTTAACAGGTCTTCAGGGGGCCACAAACTTTGGCCCATATACTCAAAAAGACAAACTTCTAGAGCCGTCCAAGTTTTCTGAATACTTTCTATGCCTCCAGGTAGTTCATTAGAAAAATAAACCTTTTGTAACTTTCTTCCTAATTTCTCTCAAGTACATAAATTTGGAGACTCTTGTTCACAAAACCAAGGACAATATTTACCTACAATCTTTAAGAATTGTAATAACTGAGCTTTTTTTATCTGTTTTTTTTTTCTGATTAATTATACTGTCTAAAATAGTCAGATACATTTCCTTATCCGTAGAAGTTGAATTTCCCATTTTAATTAATTTAATGTTTCTTTCCTTCAATATCTCCAGGTACTTTTGTGACTCTAAATTGTCATCACTTCTTTTATCTTTATTTTTATCCTTATCTTTATAGCGTGTTCCCACTCAATCTAACTAATCTAGAATGCCCCAAGTTGGGCGCCAATTCCACCATGCGGCCCGCGCATTGGTTTCATTAATGAGGTTCTTGGCATAAAAGTTAGCTAGAAGAGATCGAAATAAAACACACAGACTCAGTTACCTTATTTCTATTGCCAGGTCCAAGATGGCTCCCCTCTCTGTTTTTTTTTTTTCTATTGCCAGGTCCGAGACGGCTCCCCTCTCTGGTTCCCTCCTCTAACCGCCCAGCAGGGCAGCAAGGATTACTCAGGGCTAGCAGGAGAGAGAGAGAGAAAACACGCCAGGGAGTAACCTTTTATTGGGAAACAAAAAATTCAAGGGATAATTCCATCCAATAAAGGTTGAGGGGGGACCACACTCCAAGGTCAAGGTCAGTGATTGGGCCCCCGGGGTCAGTGGTCAGTCACACCCCCACACGGACGGGTTCTCTCATCAGGAAAGGGCTGAAAAAGTTCCGACACAGCCAGAACGCCTCAGACCCTTAACGGGAGCTGCCCAGTCACGTGTCAAAATGGCTCCCCACAAGAAACTACTACCTCTACCCATTAAGGGGGCTAAATCAAAAACAACAAAAATTTTAAAAGTGTTAAGATGTTGGCCAGAACCTGTGACTGTGGAAATAGACTTTTTTCCCTTAGTATTGGTGATTGAAGCCCAGAGGTGCTCTACCATTGAAGTACATCCCCAGTCCTTTTTATATTTGTTTTGAGATAGGGTCTTGCTAAATTGTGCAGGTTGGCCTTGAACTTGCCATCCTCCTTCCTCAGCTGCCCAACAGGCTGTGATCATAGGTGTACCACCACCCCCAAAAGGAACAGACTTAAAAAATAGACTAGTGCTGCTGGGTGTGGTGGTGCATGCTTGCAATCCCAGCAGCTTGGGAGGCTGAGGCAAGAGAATTATAAGTTCAAATTCAGCCTCAGCAACTTAGTAAGGCCCTAAGCAACTCAGTGAGACCCTGTATCTAAATAAAGTACACAAAGGGTTTGGGATGTGACTCAGTGGTTAAGCACTCCTGGGTTCAATCCCGGGTACCAAAAAAAAAAAAAAAAAAAATAGACCACTGCTTTCCAAACACAGGGATAAATTTAATAAAATGTGAGAATGACAGTTTTTCCAAGAATGATGCTCTGGCTTCCCTCCACAAGTAAAGTGTAACAGCTAACAGCAGGCAGGCCTTTTGGGTATGTTTCAAGTCAGTGAAAATTCTAAGTTACTCCAAGAAAGGAAACTACTTTAACACATTATTTCACGCTTGTCTGAAGGATCCCTAATTCATTCATTTGATGAATATGTACTATGACCACTGTGCATTACGTAGAAATACTTAATGTGGGTAAGTGAATACGGTAGTTCTTAGAAGACAGTTAATCTAGTTCTTGCAAGTTAAAGCAGGACAGCTTAAGTGTAATTTAGGCATTTCAGTTCTTGCCAAATTTTATGCTTGACTCTTAATAGCTGGATTTGGCTTCCTGTGCTTCTTTCAATAAGAGGCCTGGAGACCCATCCAAGGGCTGTCCAAAGATGGTTATGTGACATTTAGCTACTGCAATGCTGATTTCAGATCTCTACTTGTGGGATTTTCTTTTCTTCTTTTTTCCTCCATTTTTAAAATGAACTTTAAAATTTTTTAGAAATTGCATCTGGGGCAAACAATAAATTCCCTCCCTGCAATTAGGCAGATGAAAGAAATAAAGCAAAAGGGGGAAATGAAGACAACATGACAAAGCAGATTAAATGATCAAAAGTAGTGATTTATAGATGATTAGCAATCGAGTCCCCTTTTTTCCCTTTTTTGGTTGAGGTGCGTAATCCCATTTAAACCAGAGTCTCCCACTTGCAAGCATAGCCTTTGCTATCTGGCCCTTCCTGGCAGACACTTTCCTCCCTGTTTTTCATATTCTGTGTATCTTATGAAGCTCCACAAACTGGGTCACTTCATCCAAGTGAGGCCACCACTTATACAGAAACCTCTCTGCAATGATTCTCAGCCAGGGCGTGACCTTCACTTCACCCCTGTCTCCCTTTTCCAGGAGCTCTTCCAATTCCTCCTGGGCCAGGTAGCAGCAGCTGTCAACTTCACTGGGATCTGGGTGGATGGTCACATTCTTCTTCACTAAGAGAAGGTAGCAGATCTCATGTTCTCCCCAAATTTGATCTGATTTTGCTTTGTAATGATATCTTGTCATAAACACTATGTCATCTGTAGAAAGCTGTGGCAGAAATTGATGCAACATTAATAACATTAGCATAAAACACAGTGTACAGGAAAAAGGAGAAAATGAACACATTTGTTTACCTCAGATAAACAAATTCTGTTGGTAATTGGTTATTATCCAAACCTTAATTTTAAGTGATTTTTTTTTCTTTAAGGGGAGATTGCAAACTTTATTGGCACTAACACAAAAATAAAATTGATTCAAGAAATGGCAGATCACTTTGACAATGCACAATTTTTATGCAGATGTATGCATTATGCATTTTTATGCAGATTTATGGATGCATGCTACCTTTTAAAATTGCCTTGGAGACCTAGGGAATGGCTATAAAATAGCTGACACAGATGGGAAAAGGTTGTAGACTCCCTGAAAAGTCAGTAAGCCTTAGCAGATGTGATCTTTCTCAGATTTTTTCCTTAATGTCATGACGACGGACAAATACCAGGTCCATATTTGGGACATACATGGCATGAATATTCTTTCCTTCCAAAAAATGATGATGATGTAATCAGTGGCACTTTGGTATGTCAAGGATTTCTGGTGAACACTCTACAGGTGTGGTCTTGTTTTTAACCATTGGTCATCTCAGTAGACATTGATTTGATTGTTCTGGAACAGCTGGAGAGCTGTTGCTCAGGCCTATTCCTGTCCCCTGCTGTCATGAGATATGCCCTTCTCATTTGAAACTATGTCATCTGTGATGGGAATGTCTAAGTCCAGGGGCCTAAGACTCCCTGTGTATTCACTTGGAAACTGTTCCTAAGGAGCAATGGTCCTTGTTTCTACCGTGTTAACACAGTACCAGAAGTGCAAAGACTGCTAGTGGTCTACACTGATAATGAACTTCAGAGGTTCAGTCCATGGTCAGCCAACTCTATTGCTCTGGCCAAGATGAGCTGTAGCATCATGGCTAAAAGCATGGTGAAGGAAAGCTGCTCACTCTGTGGTAGCCAGGGAGCAGAGAGAACTAACTAAAGTTTTGTAGACTCAAATCTGAATAATAATCTGACTTTGGTTTCCTTGGTGTAACAAATGTATCTCTGTCCTATTTTGAAGGACCAACTCCTCCACCCGCAACAACAGAAAATCCAATGAAAACTGGCCATCCCCTCTCACCTACTGGCTTTACAGATAAAGTTAACAAATGGGTAATGGACAGTCACGGCTGATCCTGGACATTCCTTTTAGCATACACTGCAATTTCTTCTTCAATTTTTTTTTAATAGAAAACCAGATTCCTGAACCATCCCAACCCTGCCCAGAACAAACCAATGTGCTATGACCCTGTCCTCTGCAACAGCACCATTGCCGGGCCAAGGGCATAGATCCAGTTCCCAGGACAGCACAGCTGTTACTGGGCAGATGTTCGTACCTGCTCCTGGGGAATTCCCAGCTCAGCCTGCAGGCGTCTCAGGGCTGCCCTCTTCACTCCCAAGGCGTCCTTTTCTTCCAGTCCTGCAGGGTTGTATAATGGGTGACTACTACAGGAGTCAGAAAAATGCCCTGGAAAGAACATACAAGGGAAACATCCCTCTTACTTTATTCCTCTTACTTTATTTGAATATATTAAATACAAATACAGACTCTTTGGGTAAAATCGTCATTATCTGTCATCATCAGCCTGGTAGGTGGGAAGTGCAGGTTTGCTGTGGTGCTCAGGGCAGAGCCTGTGTCCCTGCTGCCATGGGGTGAGGGTTTGGGTGAGGTGCCTCTGGGTGGCTACTTGAGGAGCTGTTCCTAAGACTCAGCCTTGGCTGCCTGCTGCAGGTGCTCACCCATATGCCCTGTTGCACTCTCCAAGTCAGTCTCAGGACGAGAAGCACCTCTTGGGCAGATTTATGTCTCACAATGAAATCCCATTTGAGAGAAGAAGAGATGAGCGCATGTGTGTATGGCATCGGTGGATTTAGAGTCTCGCTGGGGAAGTAAAGGGCATATGTGGGAGTGTTGGGCTTGGGACACACCACCTCAAAATGGCAGGAATAGGAGATTGGGAAATGCCACACCAAAATTGCTGCTTTGGATTCCAAACTGAGAAAACCTGGAAAAGAGCAAGTGGAGGAAGGGGCTTGCTCTGAACTTGCCCTATCTGACCAGAGAAAATGAAAACAACATTATACATCTTCTCCCTGGGAAGTCAGTAAGATGCCCTGCGAAGATCCACCAGCAAAAATTAGAGGGGCTCCCCACCCAGACAGCTTTTTCACAGGTGGCACCTATTCTGACAGTTCCTCCTTGAGATCTCCTATTACCTGGGAAGCTTTTATATTCGCATCACAAGGCAATCTTTATTCCCCATATTATTTCTTCCTTCACTTTTCCATAACTTGTCCCACTTCCCTCCAGAAGTCCCTGCCCCTATTCTTTTCTGTAGTTCAGGATATTTTATGAATGTCGTCATCTGCTATCCTCGCTTCTAAAGGGATATTCTTACATTTGTCATGATCTTAGGAAGTATAGAAAAATTCAGTCTTAAGACTTGGATGGTAGGATGATAGTTTCTATCATTATCTTCTTTTTTTAATATTTGTTTTTTAGCTTTAGGTGGACACAATATCTTTATTTTATTTTTATGTGGTGCTGAGGATCGAACCCAGTGCCTCACGCATGCCAGGCAAGTGTGCTACCACTTGAGCCATATCCCCAGCCCTTATTATCTTCTTAATTTTATGTTTAAATATTATTTATTTTAGTTCCCTGATACCTTAGATGGATAAGTTCTTCTGGATTTAAATAGCTTTATACTGACATTAAAAAAAAAATCCCAACTAGAAAAAACCCAGGCCACTGAAGAAATATCAGACTGGTAAGTATGGGTCTGCAGTTTCCTCTTAAAATGTCATCTGGCTGTGCAGATAATTCATGTCTCGGAATCCGCCAGGTCAGATTACATGGAAAGTTTCTGTTAAGTCATAGATTCAACTGAATGAACTTACCAGGAAAAGTCAGCTTGACATCTGATCGCGTCTGAATCAGGACTTTCTTCTCTGTATTGAACAAAACCACACTGAAGGCTCTGTGCAGGAGCCCTGGGAGAACAAGCCCCAAACTGTGAGTGAACACGGGGAGTCCCTGCAATAGTCCTCAGTCTTTGTCTTATCTGAAAAATCTGTATATGACCCTTGAGTAGGGCAAGGGACATGCAGTTGTCTAAATTGACATTTTGAAACCTCTAGGTAATTAAACTTGTTTGACAAAGTGAAACTCAAAGTAAAAGTTTAGGCTTGTCAGAGAAGACCAGAGCTGGATGGTAGTTCAATCAGGAAAACCAGATTTTATTCACAACTATTACAGTATGGGAAAAGAGACCTCAGAGTAGCTCTGGTATCAACTCTGAAATCAGCACTGGCGGGAGGGAATTTGTCCCTAAGGAGCAGAATGGAGGAAGGCCGAAGGAAAATTTCTAGGAGGGTATGTCTGGGGCAAGAGGCATTCCAATTAGGTCTACAGGATTAATATAGTTCTTTCTCAAGATGGGCTTGGGTGATCAGACATCACCTGAGAATGGTGTGGCATGAGGACCTGAGCAGATACGGAGGGTGGGAGTCTCTCTGAACCATGTTAGGAGGATTCTTGCCTGAGCTGGGTTTTACAAGGGAGCGCACAGTTGTCTGGGAGGCTCAGGACTCTGCTGACATTTAGGCTGAGCAGAGACTCTTTGTCAAGGGGGGTGCCTCAGAATCTTCTCCCAAAGAGAGAAGCTGTGAAAGGACAAGGTGCCCATATGGCCTCCTTATGCAAAAAGCCCAGATTCTCCTGCCTCTCCATCTCTCTCAGGTGGGAAAAATGAGAAAATCTTGCAAAATTAACAAAGAAACATTCGGTGCCACCTTTCTCGATGTTCTCGTTCAGATGGCAGTTCCTCTTGGTGTCCTCCCCAAGGACCTTGTCATCTTCATCAACCACAATGAGCATTTCATTTAGGCGTTGTAGTTGATGTTCACTGAGCCAGTCGGGATGGACTTCAGACATAGCTGCGCGCTGGAGCCAGCCTGAAATGGGTGCATGAAATTTCCTCTTGTGCAGAGGATCATATCTAATTTTTGCTATTTGTTACCAAGCACCTCAGGATTTATCATATAGTATTGAAGTAGAACTATTGTTAAGTATAAGAGGGGTATGGTGTTTATAATTTAGTGTCTTTCTGAATAGGAAATCTTGGAGAGAGATATATATACAAATATCGTATGTATAGATATGTAACATGTTATATATGATATACATTATATATATCTGTCATGTATACATATCATATATGATATATATAAATGATATATATCATGCATATATAATATATGTGTGATTATTATGTATATATAATATATATGTATATGTATGATATGTGTGTGTATATATATATATATATATATATATATATATATATATATATATATATAATATTCCCTAGGGGTCCTTCAATGAAGATTCAAACAACAAACAAACCCCCACAAAAGAAATAAGTGCAAGTTCAGATAACATTATTTGTAGTGTTTTTGGGAAAAGGAATCAGGATTGGAACAGATGTGGCGATTTCGCCACCTTTTAGAAAAGCTGCATTGACCTGAGTCTCATGCATCCTCTTCAGAGCCAGATAGATCCCCACATAACAACTTCCCCAGATCATATTTTCAGTACCATTTATTTTCACCAAAATCTTTTCATTATCCCTTCTTACTTTTTAATGAATTGCATTTGCCTCTGTCCCTTGTCATTACTCTATTATTATTTTCAGCAATCCGTTCATCCTCTTAGTAAAGAGGCTGCTTGACTAGACGTGTGGACTGGGGACAGAACACAAATACAGAGAGAACAAGTGCTGAATAGGTACAAAATTTGATCAACAGGCAAAAGAATCCCCATGAGAAAAAGAATAACACTAACCGTTTGTGGAAGTTTGAGACTCCTGGGTGTCAGGTGTGGAGCTGAGCACTCAGGTTGAACCAGGGTCTTTTATCCATTTGAGGTGTGTGGAAAGATGCCATGAAGATGTTCTCAAAGATTTGTATTCTAAACATGAAACCACACCCTGACCTTTTTCTGCTTCTGTCTGTCCATCAGACTTCTGCTTGTACATGGTACACACCTTCTTTTGAAAATTTTTATTCAACCTGTAAACCAATGTTCCAGGTGTCACTCATTTGTCTAACAGGTCAGATCACACCATCTCCAGTGCCTTGGAATGTAACAAACCATTTCCATTGTTCAATGACTTGCTTTGTGAATCTGATAGAAAATCATTTTGATTCAACTTCACCTTTTTTAGTGCATTTTTTTAAAAAAATATTTTTAGTTGTCGATAGACCTTTATTTTATTGATTTATATGTGGTCCTGAGAATCGAACCCAGTGCCTCACACATGCTAGGCAAGCGCTCTGCCACTGAGCCACAACTCTAGCCCATTGCATTTGTTTTTTAAATTTAGGAGAAATTATGTTCTGTTGCATGGTATGTTGATGTTTGCGTAAGGTGGCATTTCAAATAGATATGGAAAAGGTAATTATTTGAGTATTGATGGGATATCTGGCTTGCTTTTTTAAAGGAATAAAGTTACATTCTTACTTCTAATGTCATATTAGATATATCCATATGAATTTAAAATGTGTGCTTAGTTTGCTCTTCTTTTTCTAGTTTCTTAATGTGTAAATTTTTGTTATTGATTTGACTTCTTCCTTCCTTCCTTTCTTTCTTTTTTTGATATAGGCATTTGTAGCTATAACTTTCTCCTAAACACCATGTACCAGTTATATGTTGTGGGCATTTTTCTTCCTGCTTGGTTAAGGGCTGGGGATACAGGTCAGTGATAAAGTGCTTGCATAGCATGTGTGAGGTCCTAGGTTAGATCCCCAGCACTAAATAAATGAACAAATAAATATTTGGTTGATTTACTTTGTGATTTTCTTTGAATTGTGAATTATTTGGTACTGTGCATTTAATTTTCAAATATTCCTGGGTTTTCCAAATGTCCTTCTTTTGTTGATTTCTAATTTAATTTCACTGCAGTCAGAGAATATATTTTGTATGGTTTAGATCCTTTTAAATTTATTGAGATTTGTACATGGCCAACTATACCCTAGAGAGTATACTATCTGTGCTTGAGAGGAATATGTATTTTGTTGTCTCTGGTTGGAGTGCTTCATAGATGTCAATCAGGCCAATTGGGTGGATCATAGTCTACATTCTTGCTGATTTTCAGTTTAGTTATTGTGTCCATTATTGATCATAGATACTGAAGTCCCTATTATTGATGAATTGTATATTTTTCCCTTCAATTCTGTCAGTTTTTGCTATACACAATTTGGGAGCTCTTTCATACATAAGTATATGCTTGGAATTCTTAATTCTTCCTGATCAATTAGCCCTTCTCTCAATATAAAATTTCTTTCTTTGCTTCTAGTAATGTATTTTGTCCCAAGTCTGTTTTATTCATTATTAATATATGACTCTACTTTTTTTCTGGGGTAATGGTCTCATGGTGTATCTTTTTCCAGTCTTTTATTTTCAATCTATTTGTGTTTTTGAAAGTATGGTGTGTTTCTTGTAGAGAGAATATAATTGTATTTTTAATCCAGTTTCTAATGATAATTTCTGACTTGATTTGAATATTTGAATCCATTCACACTGAATATCATTATTCTTTTTTCCTATTAGCATGTTTTATTAATTCACCATAATGTCATTATTGAACTAGATGAATTTATACCTGCTTTTAAATTTTTTTTCTTTATTTGTAGATGGACACAATACCTTTATTTTATTTATTTAGTTTTATGTGGTGCTGA